GAAGAGATATAAAACACAAATGGGATTTCTAGAAATGGGAAAATAATATAATTAAAATGAAAATGCCATGGATGGGATTAACAACTCAATAGACACAAAAGATAATTTCAGTGAATTTAAAAATAAGCTGATAGAAACTATTCGAACTGAAGGAAAAGGATTTAAAAGGATTGAAAAAAACAAACAAACATGAACCAGTAATTCCTGGGATGATATCAAATGGTTTGGTATATTTGTAATTGGAGTTATAGAAAAAGAGAGAGAGGACGCTAGAAAAATTTTTTTACAATTTTCAAAATTTGGTGAAAACCATATACTCAAAGTTCAGAGAAATTCAATAAATCTTAAGCCAGAAAAACACAAAGAAATACACATGTGAAGGCACATTATAATCAAATTACTGAAAACCAGCATTAATGATAATATTTTAAATGTGGCCAGAGAAGAAAGACACGTTGTGTCCAGAGGAGCAATGGCAAGAATAACTTCAGACTTTTTATCAGAAAATATGTAAGTCTGACAACAATTAAATTACATTATTTAATGTGAGGGGAAAAACTATAAAGTAAGCATTCTATAACCAATGAAAATATTTTGAAAATTAAGGGTAGAAAAGACTCTTTTTGATATGAACATCTGAGAGAATTTATCAGTAGAAAATATGCACTAAAGGAAATACTAAACTATAGGTAGAAGGAAAATAATGTCAGATGGAAATGTGGATCTAAACAAAGCTTTGAAGAGTGATGGAATGAAAAAGAAGTAGATAAAATACTGTATTTCATTTAAATGTTTTTTTAAAATATTTTATTTGGCAGAGAGAGAGAGAACAAGTAGGCAGAGCAACAGATAGAGAGAGGGGGGAAGCAGGCTCCCCGCCGAGCAGAGAGCCTCATGTGGGGCTCAATTCCAGGACCCCGGGATCACGACCTGAGCCGAAGGCAGAGGCCTATAACCCACTGAGCCACCCAGGCGCCCCCTTTTAAATGTTTTTTAAAAGATAATTGACTATCTCAAGTAAACAATAATAATGTATCATGGCATTTGTAACATACATAGACAAAATAGTTTCTGTTGTTTTTAATATCTCATTTTATGGATATTAAACTATTCATTTATCTATTGGTGATAATTTGATAGTTTCAAGTTTTGGCTGTTTTGAATAAAGCTGTTTTGAATGATTTTTACTGTGGTAAAAAACAAAATTTGCCATCTTAACATTTTTTTTTTTTAAGATTTTATTTATTTATTTGAGAGAGAGACAGTGAGAGAGAGCATGAGCAAGGAGAAGGTCAAAGGGAGAAGCAGACTCCCCACGGAGCTGGGAGCCCGATGCGGGACTCGATCCCGGGACTCCGGGATCATGACCTGAGTTGAAGGCAGTCGTCCAGCCAACTGAGCCACCCAGGCATCCCCATCTTAACATTTTTAAATGTGCAGTTCAGTAGTATTACATATATTTACATTGTTGTGAAACAGATCTCCAGAACTTTTTTATCTTGGAAATATGAAATGCTAATATTCTTTTTGGTATTCTGAGCACCCAGTTTCCAGTGTGGGTGATAGGATTCTTCCAATACCAAAAAGCAATTCTTGGACACCAGCAGAATTCAATTCAATTCTGTCTACTCAAAGATGACATCAGTTTCCATAGGTTAAGGGTCCTGTCCTACAAGACTGCATGCACAGTCCCCTCCCCGTACATATGCCACTTTCTATCCTAGGTGATATCTTAGGCTATCACCTGTGCTTCAGACCAATTGGCTATAGATTGGAAGTTCCAATGACTTCCTCCTTGGCAACTCAGTTCAAACATCAATTGCAAACCCAGGTTGTTACCTGTACTTCTAACTGGCTATAAATCAGAGGTTCCCAAGATTCCCTCCTTGGATTCAATTAATTTGCTAGAGTGGCCCACAGTACTTAGAGAAGCATTTTGCCTACTAGATTACTCTTTTATTATAAAAATATATAATTCGGGCACAGCCAAGTAGAAGAGAGATGTATAGGGGAAGGGTGCCAAACTTTCATGCCCTCTCTGTATGCACACTGTCCTCAAGTCTTTACATGTTCATCAACCCAGAAGCTCTCTGAATCCTGTCCTTTTGTGTTTTATGGAGGCTTCATTGCATACGTACAACTGATTGAGTCATTGGCTATTGACAATTGATTCAACCTCCCTGAAGGTTGGGGGAGGGGTAGAGCAGGACTGAAATTTCCAACCATCTAATCTTATAGCCAGCCACATGGAATCATGTGGATTCCACTGGCAACCAGCTCCCATCCTTAGATGCCTTCAAAACTTAACTTCATTTACATAACAAAAGACACTTTAATCTCTCTCAACACAGGAAATTATAAGGGTTTTGGGAGCTGTAAACCAGAAACTGTGGACAAAGACCAAATACATATGAAAAATACATCAATCATCTGAATGATGAAATACTAATTTCTTATAAATCACAATATTGCAATACCCATTAGATGGTAACTTTTCTTTCTTCTATTCCAACAGTCTCTGAAAACCCCTGTTCTACTTGTTTTGATGATTTTGACTACTTTAGATACCTCATATAAGTGGAGTAATACCATATTTGTCTTTTATTGATGACTCATTTCAGTCATCTATGTTTTAGCATGTGATAGGACTGCCTTCCTTTTTAAGGTTGAATAATATTCCCTTGTATGTACGTACCATATTTGGTTAATACAGTCATTTGTTAGTGGACATTTGGGTCATTAACACGTCTTAACTCTTGTGAATAATACTTCTGGGGTCATAGGTGTGCAAATTTATACTTTGGGACTCTGCTTTCAGTTCTTTATTATAATAGTCATCCTAATGGGTATAAGATGATATTGTAATTTTCATTTGTATTTCTCTTATGACTATTGATGTTGGACATCTATTCATATTCTTACTGGCCATTTGTATATCATCTTTGGAGAAATTTCTATTCAAGTCCTTTGCCCATTTAAGTAGGTTATCTGATTTTTTAAAAAAATTATTGTTGAGTTGTATGAACTCTATGCATATTCTTGATATTACTTTCTTGTCACATATATGATTTGCAAGTCTTTTCTCCTGTTCTATAGATTACCTTGTCACTCTTTTGATTGTATCCTTTGATTTACAAAAGTTTTTAAGTTTGTTGTAGATCCATTTGTCCATTCTTACTATTGTTGCTTGTGCTTTTAGTCCAAGAAATGAGTGTGAAGTCCAATATCATAAAGCTTTTTCCCTATGTTTTCTTCTAGGAGTTTATAATCTTAGAGGTCTTACATTAGGTCTTTAATCCATTTTGAGTTTATTTTTGTACATGATGTGAGATAAAGATCTAATTTCATTCTTTTGCATTGGATATCCAGTTTTCATTTGCAGGTAAGACTTCCCATTGAGTGGGCTTGGCATCCTTGTCATAGATCATCTGACCATATAATTAATATATTACTGATCACAATAATTGAATAACTGAATAAATAAATGGAAAAAGTGGATAGAAGGGAAAATTCTTCCTTATAGTGTTATCAATATAGAAGGAATAATGAATTTAAATAATTATGAATGGATATTCAGACTAATCAGTGAAATTATTATGAGGATCCAGATGCTTACAGGATCTCACAACTGTTTCCTCATAGATTACTTATTAATTGCAAATGGAAGCATAGAAACTTACAGTGGAAAAACCTGGAAGACAGCAATTAACCAAGTGATCCAAAAGTAACAATAGAATATTATGACAAACTGACAACATGTATCTTCTGAGAAGGACAACATCCCCTCTGTGAAGTATTTCAGAGTAAAAGTCCACACACACACACACACACACACACACACACACACACACACACATAGCACAGCATAAAGGTGGTGTGACAAAAGCTGGGACATTGGATACCCTGAATAGAACACTCTGTACATTTAAGTCATGGAATTAGATTCAAGTTGTTGAATAGAGATCTTAGAAACAGAGAGATATTTGATATTATTTGGAGAGGAAGAATAGCAAGAGGTCAAGGGCAGGGCCCCTGAAACCAGATTACTTAGGTTTAAATACTTTTTCCATCACTTACTAGCCCTTTGACTTTTGACAAGTTAAATATCTATGCCTCAGTTTCTTCTTCTATATAGTGGATATAGTAATAGTCTCAAACCTCACAGGGCTGTTGTGAGGACTTAATGAGTAAATCTAAGTAGTATTCAGAATAGAGACTAACACATAGTAAGTACCATAAAGGTGTTTGCTATTACTATTTCATTTATTTATATATTAATTACAGAAACCGTCAGTTCCTAATCTAAGTATCTGATGGCCTCTTGGAATACAAAATCCCTTGGATTAAGAATCGAGCAAATAGGATCACCTGGATGGCTCAGTTTTTTAAGCATCTGATTTCAGCTCAGGTCATGATCCCAGGGCTCAGCAGGGAGTCTGCTTTTCTTTCTCCCCATTCCCCTCCCCCTGCTCTTTCTCTCTTTTTCTCTCTCTCAAATAAATAAAATCTTAAAAAAAAAAAATAAAACAAAACAAAAAACCCACAATCCAATCCTGGTGAAGGACAGTGGGATTGTAGGTACAAATATTTCAAGCTAGCACATAATGTCACTGAACTTGGAGATAGGAAGAGATGTGCACAACCAGTTCTGGAGGTGGTCCTAGCTGGCTCCAGGGTACCACTGGATGGGTCTCATTCTCATTAGAATTTAAGGATATGTTTCTGAAATTGCAAACTCAGTTTTCAGGTGAATATTTGAAAGTTAAATTTTCTTGATGTAAATTCTATGAGCCTCTCTATAGCTTTTTAAAAAACTGTGTGTCATGTTTTTGGTGTGTGCATTAGAAACCAAACATTTGATTTGTAGGATTATCTCTGTAAATAAATAAAATTACACTAAATGAAAATACAAAAGTAAGCTTTATGATCCATCTGGTAATTTTACTTTTTATGAGAAAATAGTTTTAAATGATCATTTAAGTTTTTAAAAATGATCCTAGGTATGCAATTCCAATGAAACGTGCCATTGCTTTGAGGGCTACCGGCCTCCATTTTGTGAAAGGCGTGGCAGAGAAGTTTCTAGTTTGTCTGGGAAGCAGGAGGGCAAGTATCTAATATCTTTACATATTCAGTTAATAAATTCTCAAATTGTTTATCTTCATAAAAACAAAGGTAGATTTTTGATGTCTAGAAGGCAATATTTACAATTAAAAGATAAACCATCTTCTTTTCAAGAAATGAAAACCAAGTATGACTTCTTAATCTTACTCTTCTAATATTAACTCTCAATATCATGATTGAAACTGAGAGTATCTTTTAAATTTTTATTTAATGATATCATTGACTTTCTCCATTAGGTTGTCCTATAAATTTATTGGTTTACATGATTCCACATTATATATTATTGACGTTTTGGGGTCCAATTTAATGGTGCTGTAGTGAGATTTTGCTATAGCTATAGTATAATGTAGAGTATGTTGGAACTTTCTGGAACTTTTTTCTAGTCTTTTAGAGAGGTTGTAGAGATGGTTTTAAGTATTATGATTCTATTATTATTTTTCTATGTTCTTTGAATAACAACAAAAATTAAGAACATTGTAATTGGTTTGCTGCAACTTGAAAGTAAAGTAGATGGCTTCAGTTTTTTATTCTGATTTTTAATATATTTCTATTTTTAGGTTTAACCATGGGAAGAGCTCTTAGAAAGGCTGAAAAGAACCGGTGGCTTCTAGGTTTCTACATTGCTTTACCTGTTATCATCATAGCAACCATAATAGCTGTTTCATGGAATAGTTCAAAAAAGTGGTTTGCCAAAGAAGAGGAGTCCCTAAGTAGCGAGTAAATTGAATTTGTGTGCCAAAACTTTAGTACCGTTTGACTCTAGTCATATGTAAGGCAGTATCATGAACAGCAACCATACATTTTACAGTGATTTTGAGTACTATATAAATATCTCATTTAATTTTGTGAGGTAGTTTTGAATATCCCCATTTTAAAGATGCAAAATTTGGGAGTATAATTTAAATAATTTGCTAAAGTTACTGCCTTAGAAATTGAGAGAGAAAGAATTTAAATGTGTCCTATCTATTGCTTTCTAATACTTTAGAGGTTCTCAAATTGTGATCTGTGTCACTTGCAGGAGAACCACTAGAAATATTTATTAGCAATGCAGATTTGGGGTGCCTGGGCTTCTCAGTGGGTTAAGCCTCTGCCTGTGGCTCAGGTCATGATCTCAGGGCCCTGGGATTAAGCCTCACATCGGGCTCTCTGCTCAGCAGGGAGCCTGCTTCCCCCCCCCCTCTGCCTGCCTCTCTGTCTACTTGTGATCTCTCTTCCCCTGTGTCAAATAAATGAATAAAATCTTTTAAAAATCTAGATTTCTATACCTTATCACAGATGAAAATATTTGTGGCCTTATGTAAGAAATGACTGTAAGAGTATTCTCTGGGTAAAGTGTTCAGAAGGCAAACTTATACTTTAGACTTTAGCATGTTTAAGTTTGTTTGTTTGTTTGTTTGTTTCCAGAGAGTGTGCACAAGGAGGGGAAAGGGGCAGAGGGAGAGGGAGAGAGAGAATTTTTTTTTTTTTTTTTTTTTTTTTTTAAGATTTATTTGTTTTGAGAAAGAGGAGTGTGCAGCAGTGAGGGGCAGAGGGAGAGAGAGTCTGAAGCGGGTTCTGTACTGAGCATGGAGCCTGACGGGGGCTTGATGTTATGACCCTGAGGTCACAACCGGAGCCAAACTGAGAGTCAGATGCTTAATTGACTGAGATGCCTAGGCACCCCGAGCATATTTTAATTTTTTTAAAAAATAGTTTAAACACAAAGAGAACAAAGTGATGAATATTCATTTGCCCACCAGTAGAAATAAACAAATGTTAGTATTTTTCTTGTTTCTTTTATGAAATAAACCATTACATTTACAGCTGCAGTATCTTTCCATTATTATCTCCCTCTTTGCAGAGAACAACTTCTACACTGAAAGTTAGTATGTATTACATATTTTTGCCACATATGGCTATATCAGAGTGCCATATCTGGATTAAAGTTTATTTATTTATTTTATTTTGGAATTGTATATAATTTTAAATATTTACACATTCTTTATAGATACAGTTCCTCTTTTAATTTTGTTTGTGTGTTTTCTTTTTTCCCTTTTTCATGAGCAGTCTTCTCAGAGGTTTTATTGGTAATTTGAAAAATAAAACTTTGGGGTTTGTTGATATCTTTATATTTCCTTAGTGTTTATTTATTTAAGGATGTTAAATTTTGCTCTTTTCCTCCTTTCTGTTCTCTTTACTTTTGCTCTGTTTTAATTCTAGCTTTCTTGAGTCTAAAGCTCTTTCTAAAATTAATTTTCAGTCTTTCTTATTTCCAACATGTGCTTTTAAGCTAAAACTTTCCCTTTTATATATCATTTCATGTATACTCTTCAGTTTTTAATATATAGTTGACATTCAGTTCAAAAAATTAGAAACTTCTAGTATGATTTCTTATTTGAATTATGAGTAAATTATAGTCTTTAGTTTCTAATTAGATGATTTATTTTTGTTGCTGAAAAAATTATTTTCTAATTTTATCACCTTATTGGGAAAGACATGTTTCTACGATTTATTCTTAAATGTTGGAACCAGAAGGGAAGTCAATTTTTGTAAAAATGTATTCTTGTGGGTATACTTTAATTATTGCAACATTTGTTTTTTTATTTCAGTGTTCCAAGATGTTTCAAAACAAACTTCTTAATTATGTTGTTTCAAATCATTTTATATGTATTGGGATTTCATCCCCATCTGCTCATTAATTTATTTTCTGTAAGAAGCAAACTAAAGTTTTTCAGTATTTCAATTTCATGGCTTTCCCCTTTGATTTTTGAAACTTCAGTTTTATTTTTCTGAGGGAATGACAATTCATTAATGCTCAATTTAGTTACGCTTTCTTGACATGTTATCTTTTTATCATTAATTTTATCTTAAATTCTATTCACACTGTTTTAAATTGCTATATCAACTTGCTCTTTGAAATTTAGACTTACCTAGTATATTTTTTTTCATCCTTTATTCTCAATCTTTCTTTGTCTTTAGTTGTTTTCATATAAACAGCCTTATATGGAATACAATAGTGGAGTTTGTTATGCATATATGCTTAGTATATAATGGCATATATTTAGACTGAAAATTGCCATTTTATTTTTTCTTATTTGCCATCTTTTTTTTTTAACATGTTTTTTTTTCCTTTTCCTCAAATCCATTTTCTTTCTTTTTTTTAAAGATTTTATTTATTTGACAGACAGTGAGAGAAGGAATACAAGCAGAGGAAGTGGGAGAGGGAGTGGGAGTGGGAGAGGGAAAAGCAGGCCTCCCACAGAGCAGGGAGCCTGATGTGGGGCTTGATCCCAGGTTCCTGGGATCATGACCTGAGCCGACGACTAAGCCTTCCAGGAACCCTAAATCCATTTTTTTTTTTTAAAGATTTTATTTATTTATTTGACAGACAGAGATTACAAGTAGATAGAGAGGCAGGCAGAGGGAGAGAGAGGAGAAAGCAAGCTCTCTGCTGAGCAGAGAGCCCGATGTGGGGCTCGATCCCAGGACTCTGGGATCATGACCTGAGCCGAAGGCAGAGGCTTTAACCCACTGAGCCACCCAGGCGCCCCCCTAAATCCATTTTTTAATTGTGTTTTTTTCTGTTCTTTTTCTTCTTTTACTTTTCACATTTTTATGTTGTTTTTATTTTCAAATGATTTTCTTTAAATTTTAGTGTTTATAGTTAATGTTATACAGTGTCTAAATTTAATCATTTTATATGGTCATCTGAATTACACCAGGATCTTACAACACTAGCCTCTCTTCATGTATTTGTAATTTGGCTTTTCACTTGGCCCCAAATAAGTTAGTGTTGTTTTGTTATTGTTATATTTAGTTAGTACTTTCTAGGGTTACTTATTATATTTCCTAGGTCTTTGCTTACTATTCCTTTCTTTTAAACTTTTGTTTTGAAATAGTTTAAGAAATATAAAAAATTGCAAAAATAGCACAGATTTTCCTTATCCCTTTCATTTGGGTTTTGCCAATGGTAACATTTTACATTAACATAGTGCATTGGGGTGCCTGGGTGACTCAGTGGGTTAAAGCCTCTGCTTCAGCTCAGGTCATGATCCCAGGGTCCTGGGATCAAGCCCCACATCAGGCTTTCTGCTCAGCAGGGAGCCTGCTTCCCCCTCATCCCTCTCTGTCTGCCTCTCTGCCTACTTGTGATCTCTGTCTGTCAAATAAATAAATAAAAATCTTAAAAAAAAAAAAAAGAAGAGAAAATCCTTTAAAAAAAAATAGTACATTTTCACAGGTAGGAAATTGGTATTGGTACAATATTAATTATTAAACTACAGACCTTATTCATATTCATCAGCATTTACATGCAGTCTTTTTTTGTGCTCATTTTTGAGTATATGTGTGTATATAAAGAAATTTAATCACGTGATTTTTGGTACCATAATTATCACCATTCTTTAGAATCCTGCTTTTTTCATTCTGGGTTCAACTTTATTCTTAGGAAGCATTGTCTTGGTAGTTACTACGGTGACAGTCCATGTGTAATAATCTGCTTGACTTAATATGCCTGGGAAGGGCTTTATTTCATTCTCACTATATGGGTATAGCATTTTATGTGAACAATTATGTCTCTAAGTCTTTTTGTGATATGCCATTGAATTCTGTCATTTACTGTTGGCGATGAGATGACTGCTGCCAGTTTAATTCGTTTTTATGAATTATGCTAAACTATGTTTTTTCTTTAAGTTAGCTTTCCAAGTATTCTTTTATCCAAAGTCTTGTTACTAAATTATTACCTGTTCTGATGAGTTCGTTTTTATTTATCTGGCTCTGAACTCAACATAATCTTTAATTATAAAGTTTTTCTTTAATTCTAGAAAATTCTAATTATCTATTCAATGATTTCCACTTACCATTCTAGCTCTTTTATCTTTCTGCAATTCCTTTATTTTAGGATTTTCAATTCTGGTCTCCATGGTGGTAGTGACCTTTTCCTCTTGCTTCTCCTTTTTCTTCTTTCTTTTGACACTACAGTGAGACTTTTTTCTTAAATTTAAATTCAATTAGCCAACATATAGTACATCATTAGTTTTTGATACAGTGTTCAATGATTCATTAGTTGCATATAATAGTGCTCATCAAATCAGGCTTTTAAAAACTGAGCTATAATTTACATATAGTAAAATTAATATTTTTAGTGTGTGTAATTTCTATGAGTTTAACAAATATATACATATACTGTGACTATCATAAAATAAAGAACAATCCCATTGCTCCCCAGATTCCCTCTAACCCCACCTCCAACTCCTGGTGCTGACAGATCTGTCTTCTTTGCTGTAGTTTTGTCTATTGCAGAATTTTGTATAATGGAATACAGTGTGTAGTCTTTTGAGTCTGCCTTCTTTCCTGCATTTGAGATTTATCCATGTTGTTATGTGATAGTTTGTTCTTTTTTTTAAAATAACATACAGTTTTATTGAGGTACAATTGACATGCTGGAAATTGCATATTCTTTAAGTGCATATTCTTTAAGTACATAATCTGGTATGTTTTGATAATTTGAAAAGTAGTCTCATGAAACTCATGAAACCATCATGACAGTCAAGATTATGAAGATACCTATCATGCCCAAAAGCTTCCTTGTGTTCCTTGGTAATCCCTACTCCTTTCTCTGGCATCTCCTTTATCCCCACAGTACTGCTGATCTGCTTTGTCACTACCGCTCAATTTGCATTTTCTAGAATTCTATATAAATACAGTTATATAATATGCGCTCTTTATTTTTGTCTGGTTTATTTCACTCATCATAATTATTTTGCAATTCATCCATGCTCTTATGTATATCAGTTACTTTTTTATTGCTGATAGGTATTCAGTTGTACAAATATAGCATAATTTGTTCATCTATTCATCTGTTGATGGATGTATTGGTTGTGTCCATATTTTAGCTGTTATAAATAAAGCCACTATGAACATTTATATGCAAGTCTCTGTGAATATGTGCTTTCTTTTTCCTAGGTTGATACCTAAGAATGAATGGTAAGATAATATGGTAGGTATATTTGACTTCTAAAGAAAAAGCTGAACTGTTTCTCAAAACAGTTGTACCATCTTATATCCCAGCCACTAGTACATGAGAATTCTAGTTCGTCCACATTCTCACCAATGTTTGGTATGGTAATGTGTTTATTTTTAAAATTTTAGCAATTCCGATAGTGTGCAGTAGCATCTCATTGTTTTTAATTTGCGTTTCTCTAATGACTAATGATACTTCTTTGTTTCATGTGGTTATTTGTCATCTGTACCTCTTCTTTGGAGAAATATGTGTTCAAATTTCTTGCCCATTTTAAAATTAAGTAATTAATTAGTTCAGAGGTCTTTTACTCGTTTATTTTTGTACCTGTTATGCCATGATTTCATAGGAAATGGGTTCCAGCAGTTTCAATTTGAATCTCACAAAGTGATTCTCTAGGTGGAACAGACTGGTGCTCCAGCTAAACCCAAGTACCATTCTTTTTGGTTTCCTTCTTTTCCTGATCATTTTCCTTCACACATTTTAGGAAACGATCTCAGTTTTTAGAGTGCCTGATACACTCATTATGAACATTAATTCTCTTGGCATGAATCTTGCCCTTAATTTGAGTGGGATGTGTAACATCGTAGACTCTCAGTTTTGCCGTGGTAACATTTGTGGGACGTTCCTTTTTGAACAGTGGCCATTTCCTTGATGTTAATGATATCTTAATTGTAGATTCACATGTATGTGGCTAACGGAACAACTTCATGTTTTCTAAAAGGCCTAAAGAATGTATAGCTAGTGCCATTCTTCTTTCCCTTTGTATTGGTCTTTTTGACAAATTGCTGGAAGATGATAGTTCCAGCTGAAAGGTCCCATTTTTTAACTGACTTGTCTTTTTATTACTGAGTTGTTCAGATCTTGTGGTTGTTTTAAAAATGGGTTGTTATTATTGCATTCTGGGTGTTCTTTACATACTCTGGATATAAATCTTGTATATGATTTGCAAATAGGTACACTAGGAATAGTCCAAGGCTTCTCTTTTTATTCTTTCAAAGAGCAAAAATTTTAAATTTTTATGAAATCCATTGTGCAAATTTCTTCTTTTATTGATCATGATTTTAGTTTTGAATCTAGGAAATATTTGCCTAACCAAAATTCATACAAATTTTCTCCTATGCTTTCTTCTCAATGTCTTTATAGTTTTAGGTTTTGCATTTAGACCTATATCCAATTTGAATTAAGTTTTGTATAGGTTAAAATGTATGGATAGAGTTGTTGTTTTCTGCAGAAGAATATCCAGTTGTTCTAACACTATTGTTTTTAATGCCTTGCTAAGTGGGATCACAATAGTCATCACTACTGAAGCGATACCCTTTTGAGTAACTCTACCCAATTCTTCAAAACATGGTATTTTAAAAGTCAGGTGGTGGGAACACAAGCTATTCTTGTCCCCATGTAAGCACAAAAGATTGCTCAATTTCAAATAATTTTTCTCTGGCTTAAGTAGTTTCCTCACTTGCATTCAGTGATCAGTACTTTGCAGAAGACTCAAGAAGGACCCTCCACATATCACAGGAGCTCTCTCTAGGCAGCTCTTTCCCTCCCTGGTATTTTCTCTGTGAATTCTAATGCTTTGTCCTTGCTAGAACCCCAGTTCTATTAGCTCAACTTAAGGAGATTTCTGGGTTTTTCCTGGGTCCTCCTGGCTGTGTGATAGCCTGGAAGCTCTCACCAGGCAATAAGAAGGGTCAATCATAAGTGTCTCAGCTCTTTTATTCCCCTCTTACAGAAATCGCTATCCTGTGTTGTCTACTATTCAATGTCTGAAAATCACTGTTTCATAAATTTTGTCTGCATTTTCAGTTGTGTTAGGCAGGAGGGTAAATTGTGTCTGTTACTCCATTTTGGTCAGAATTGGAAGTATGCCTTTATGGTTTGTAACCGCATTCATGTTTACCTAAATCTTGTATTGTGTTAGATTTTTCTTTCATTACACTAGTTCTGCCATCACTATTCTGTTAAGATTTGTGGATTCTGTTCTTGCAAAGAGCTCTATGGAGATTTAAAATATTCTTATATAAACTTTTATTAATCATTTTTGTTTTTTTGGTGTGTGAATTCATTATTTTGCTGTGGGTGTTGACATTAACTCCTAGTGGTTTGTAATCATAGACCCTTTTATCTTCAGTGTGTATGATTTTCCTTTGAGAATTCTGCATGTTCTGTGTTGAATATAAATACATGTGGATTGTTTCATTTTTGCTTTCTTCATCAATCAAAAATATTTAAAAATAATTGCTATGCATGGTGTTCAAGAATTTGTAGGAGTGTGAACTGGAATCCTAAAATTACACTTTTTGGAGGCTTGGGATTCCTACTTCTCTCAGTGATGCATTTTCCCCCATCTACATATCCTCATTATCCTGTTGCATTTCAAAGGCCACAGGTCAGAATTTTTATTATCCATGTTTCAAGGGTGATATGGCTCGTCATGGCTCCCAGGTTTAATTAAGGAACTCAGTTTCCCCACATGCAAAGGCCTGGAACCTCAACTCCTTCTGAGGAAGAGCTATTAAATCTCTAGTTTGAAAGGTGTTATTACTGATTTAGGTGCCCTGGCAGTTATTCAGTTTTAGCTCCTGTTTACCATTTCAATTCTCAGTTTCTTCATTTTTACTAGCACCAGGAGAAGTCTTATTGTTAACCCCAGTTATGTATTCAATGTTTGTGTTACTGTTTTCAGCACTTCTCTGTGTTATGAGGAATGTAAAGAGGGAAACTGCACTGCCCGCTCACTTTGCCAATTGTCTAGAAGCCAGTATGGGTTTTTTAAATTCATAAAATGTAACATTTTTTTTCAAGATCAATGAAAAAGGGTTAAAAGTTGGGGTATGTGGTTCAGAATCAGGGACTCAGAGTCAAATCTGTATTCTGTGTTCAGAAGAGATAAGGAAAAAGCAAATCTGTGCCTTTTTGATAGTCTCCTCACTGTGGGATTTGAAATTTACACTCTTTGTGGATGAGGTATATGGGGAAATAAGAACATTATTTATTTCTACCTTTGTTCAGTGATCTTGAACATTATTTTCTTTATTGGTAACTAGTCTTGTAAAAGAGGTAACACTGCTTATAAAATGACCTTTTTATTCATGTACTTGGCAAGACATTTTTAGGACTAACATAAGGTGCTATTTTTCATTTTTTTAATATCCAGCTCAGAAGGCAGCACTCACACATTTGCTAGCAGGTAAGTAAATTAGAAACTATCATAAAACACATGTTATAAATTAAGAATGAATTAATAATTCATAATTTTTAGATATCAATTGAACAGATACAAGTGGTAAAGTAATACACTGAAAAGCAGACTACTAATTTATAGCAATTAATTTTTAGTAGTCTTTTATTCACTTAATGTTTATTGGAAGTCTACTCAGGAAACAAGGATGAAAATAGCCAACTCTACTAAGAAATAGGATGTATATAATTAGTAAAGAAAAAGGCTATATAGTGCCTAGAAATGGCCCAACTTGGGTTATATTCATGTTTGCTTGGGTAAATAAATAAGCAAATAGCTGGCATTTCTCAGGTAAAATCTATAGTAATTGTGGATTGGGAAGAAATAATTATATTGACCTAACTGTGCTGTTAGTATTTTGTCCCTGTTATTGTTTCTTAGCCATGAATTCAGTCCTTACTGTTTTATAATTGCTATATGAACATTCTATTTGTTAGATTTACATAATGCAACTTTTCAGTTCTTTTACTTTCAATCTTTTATTTAAGTTAGTTTCTTAAAAACAACCTGCCAATGGAATTTAAAAATGTATAATCTCCAGAGTTTCTCAATAGTTGAATTTAATATGGTTATATACTTCTATGTTTCCTGATATATTTAGAGTAAATTCTACCATTTTATTTACTTTTTGTTCTATTTATCATACTTGGTCAATATATTATTTTTCCACTATCTTGTAGTCTATTACATCAATTGTACTTTCATTGTTTTTTCTTTGTTTCTATTAATTTAGTCATTATGTGTTCTAGTTATAGTCTTTAAGTGATATTCTTTAATGATTGAATTATTTTATTGTTATTTAATTAAAATTCAATGTTAATTTTACAATTTCAGATATAATGAACACTTACAATTTCTAACCACATATTGATGTTCGCCCATTATCCCTATACATTTTTCCCAACTGTTCCATATTATTAGTATTTGGTATTTAATTACTCCTGAATTTTAACCTGCTGCAAACAAGTCATAATTATCATTGTCATTGTGATTGTTGTATTTAGTCAAAACATACCAGGATTTCACTACATATTTACCACTTTATTTGTTCACTATTCCCTTTTGAATTTTGCTCCATCTTTTTATGTTCACTCTCCCATTTGGGGAAGTACAACTCTTAGAATTTCCATCAGTGAGTCTCTGTGTATTAAGCTGTTTTTCTTATCCACCTGAAATTGTCTTTATTTTCACTCTTGAATGTGAGTCTATGTAGTGTGGACTTCTAATTGAGATCAGTTTGCCTCAGCTGTTTGAAGGTATGTCAGTGTAGCCTGGCCTTACTGATGATAATGATGATGATGATAAACATCTGTCAGTGTGTTTATTCATTTATTCCTTAGTGGTTAATAGGAATTTTATATGTAGTAGGCTTTGTATTTCTTTGTATTTCTTTTGTATTCTTCTTCGTATTTCGCCGTAATATGTTAATATTACCACACACTTAGTGACATAAAACAATATTCACTTATTCTGTCAAAGATGTTGTAAGTTAGAAATCCAGGTGGATGGGGTACATGGGTGACTCAGTCAATAAAGCATGGTGTTATGCCCCAATAATGGGTCCATGATTAAAGGAGCGAGACTGATACAAAGCGAAGGTCAAGCTTTATTTCACGCCAAGCATCAAGAATCTAACCGAATGTCCGGGGCCTCACTTCTTACAAGAGATGGCGACCCATCTCTGTTTCACAGTCTAGCTTTTAAGGGCAAAGGCCATGCAGTCGGGCCTGGCCACTCACAGGTGGCCAATGAGATCGTAACACACACAGGAAACTCCACAGTGATGCTAGGTGACCAATTGAGTTACAATTTACCCTAGTAGATATTTGAACCAGCCCATTTGAACATCTTGATTGGGATTGGCACCCAAAGGGCGGGGCCCATACTCCTTGGTAACCAGGGAGACAGTATGCATCCCCCCACTGATCGGATGTCTCCACCTGGCCTGACCCACCCTTGTATCTGGGCTTTGTTACCTGAAGCTGGTTTCCGGGACTTGTCTCCAAGTAAATCCCCTGGGAGAAGGGGAGCAGGGACAGTTTCTAAATAGGTCCTTACACATGGGACTCTTGATTTCAGCTCAGGTCATGATCTTAGGGTTGTGAGATAAGTCCTGGGTTGGGCTCTGCATTCAGCAGGGAGTCTACTTGAGAGTCTCTTTCTCTCCCTCTGGTCTTCCCTCTACTTGTACATGCATGCAGGTGCTCTCCCTTTCTCTCTCTCAATAAGTAGATAAAATCTTTAAAAAAAAAAAAAAAAAAAGAAAGAAAAGAAAAGAAAAAGAAAAAAAAAAAGGAATCAGGCAGATTTGGCTGGGTTGTCACAAGCCTGACCAGAAGGCCTAAAGGCCAGGCTGTGTTCCTAGCTCTGTAAACAGAAACAAATTTCTTACAACTATGGGTCTGAATTATCTGTTTCCTTACTGGCTGTCTGTTGGAGGCCCCTTTCTACTCTCAGAGGCTGCCTGCATTGTTTCTCCCTTCATTTTCAAAGAAAATAGGGCATTAAGGTCTTCCTTAGGCTTTGACTTCCTCTTCCTTCCTTCTCTGCCAGCAGGAGACTAACTCTACTTTTGAAGGCTCACCTGATTGTGTCAGACCCACAAAAATAATCTTTGTATTTTAAAGTCAATTGATTTGGAGCTATAATTACACTTGCAAAACTTTTAAGTACTCAGAAGAATGTTTGGAAAACCAAAGAATGGAGATCTTAGGAAGCAATCTCTAGAATTCTGCCTAACAAAGCTTCTATTTTTTTTCTTGTCCCTAGAGTTATTATTTCATTATAATATATTCTGGTAGAGATTTTTCTTTTTAACTTGTGAACTGGACTCAGTATTTTCTTTCAGTGAGAAGACTCACAACTTTCTTCATTTTAGAAAAGTCCTAGATGTTTTCTTTTCAAATATTGAACCTCCTTCATAATAAATCCTCTCTGTCTGAATTACTTCATGTTTCTTAACTTGTCTTTTTATATTCTATTACATTTCTGTTTATCAAGTGTTCTGGGTGATTTCCCTAAACAGTTTAAAAATCAACAATTTTTTTCCCAGTTCTTTAATTTCTTATTTAATGAATTATTTTCCTTTATTGATCTCTATGGAACTCCTAAACATTCTTTTTTTAAAGTTTGTTTGTTACCTATAATTTTTCATATATGAATTCTTTACTTTTCTCTAGCTGTGGACATTAACTCTTAGTGGCTTTCTTCTTTGATTTTAAGGTTGCCTAAGCAACAATGATTATCTCATGAGATTTCTGTGTGTCCTGCTTTATAAAATCTTCCTTGTGGAGATTATTTCATATGTTACACTCCTAAGTCATACATTTTTACACTTGTTACACCTGGAGATCTAGAATTCATAGGAAGCATGGACTGGTATCCTAACCTAAAGTTGGTAAGGCTTGAGGTTCCTGTTTTTCTATGTGATATTTTTTATATCCACATCCCTAAACCATTTTAAGCACTTAGAGTTTCTATGTCTCTAGGTGATCCTTTTCTATCTACACTTCTTTTTTTAAAAATTAATTTTATTTTAATTTTTCAGTGTTCCAAGATTCATTGTTTATGCACCACACCCAGTGCTCCATGCAATACGTGCCCTCCTTAATACCCACCACCAGGCTCACCCATCCCCCCACCACCCTCCCTTCCAAAACCTTCAGTTTGTTTCTCAGAGTCCACAGTCTCTCATGGTTTGTCTCCTCCTCTGATTTCCCCCAACTCACTTCTCCTTTCCTTCTCCTAATGTCCTCCGTTATTCCTTATGCTCCACAAGTAAGTGAAACCATGTGATAATTAACTCTCTCTGCTTGGCTTATTTCACTCAGCATAATCTCCTCCAGTCCCATCCATGCTGATACAAAAGTTGGGTATTCATCCTTTCTGATGGAGGTATAATATTCCATTGTATATATGGACTATATCTTCTTTATCCATTTGTCTTTTGAAGGACATCTCAGCTTCTTCCACAGTTTGGCGATTGTGGCCATTGCTGCTATGAATATTGGGGTATATATGGCCCTTCTTTTCACTGCATCTGTATCTTTGGGGTAAATATCCAGTAGGGCAATTGCAGGGTCATAGGGTAGCTCTATATTTAATTTCTTAAGGAATCTCCACACTGTTTTCTAAAGTGGCTATATCAACTTACATTCCCACCAACAGTGTAAGAGAGTTCCCCTTTCTCCACATCCTCTCCAACACTTGTTGTTTCTTGTTAACTTTGGCCATTCTTACTGGTGTAAGGTGGTATCTCAATGTGCTTTTGATTTGAATCTCCCTGATGGCTAATGATGATGAACAGTTTATCATGTGTCTGTTAGCCATTTGTATGTCTTCTTCTGAAGCAATTTCCCTGCTGCATCTCAAAGATTAATGGTAATAGCTTTTACTATCCTCCTTTCATGGCTTCCAATTTTAGGGAAAGAAGTCAATCCCAGCTTTCCAGGAGATCTCAACTCCTTATAGGCTAATGTGGATGACTAACTCACATAGCTCTCCAGAGTCACTCAGCTTTAGTTCCTATTTACATTTCATGTTTCTAATTTCTCTCTTTTTAAAACTATCATCAGAAATTTCATTTTCTTCTCTTAAATTTTGATTAGTAATTTTGTGGGTTTTATTCTTATTTTTTCACTATTTCTCTGTGTGGAATAGAAGGGGGAAACTGCCCTGTCAGCCCAGTCTGCCTAATTGTCCAGGAGTCAGTGAGCGTTTTAAATCATGACCTGTAATTTATCTGTTGTTAAAGCATTTGATTGGAACCTGCAGGCCAGAATCAGGCATTCAAAGTCAAGCATATATTCTATGCTGAGAAGTAGTAAGGAGAAAAACTAAGCTGTTTTCTTGCTCCTTTCCCTATTGGAGATTTGAAATTTATATTCTTTATGGATTGGTACATGTGTAAATTAGGATATTATTTCTTTGCATAGCCTAACTTAGTAGTCTTTTAAAATTACTCATTAGTGGTAATTAGAGGTATAAAAGAGTTAACATAGGTCACAAAATAGTCTAACGTTCATTTATTATCTATGGAGGCAAATTTTTTTAGTATTAACCTAGAAGCATTACTTTCACTCTCATTTAGATCCGGATCAGAAAGCAGCAGCCAAATAGATACAGCCAGGTAAGTAAATTAGGATGTATTTCTTAAAATAAGTATGTGTTAAAATAAGATGAACAAACTATCAATAATAAATTGCTAGATATTAATTGAGCAGTAACAATTGGTAAGGTACTACACCAAAAATAACCCATTAGTATTTGCCAGTCTAGTAACTAATGACTATTTGTGTAGAAAAATCAATGTCTTCTTCCTTTCAGTTTGTTAATGTATGTTGGGAGTTTATTTTTTGGAAACGAAGGAATAAATGATTGGTGAAATGGTTACAGAGCTAACTCATAATTAGGGAAGTTTACTTCTGTATTTGGAGATTTTGCAACTAGAAATTCAGTATAAAATTCATGAACAACTGAGTGAATCCTTATTCTGGTCACTTAAGAAAATTTTGCTGAAGAGAAACATCATAAAGAAACAATAATTCTACATCTTCCATAGCCTCTCAGGATCACAAAGTAGTTTTAATTAGATTTCTGTCCATTTCCTGAAAGGTTGATATTTCTGTATAATAAAACAGTAAGTCTTTAGTTTCCCACACTTACAATTTTGGGGTTTGGGGTCTTTCTGCAGATATGAAATGTTTAGTAGGAGTTTTCACTCCTCTCTCTCTGACTTAAGGCTTTATTTACTTGTATGGGGAGCTGGTGTTATTACTTGTATGTTCTTCTAAGTCCATTGCTAGTCTAAAACACTTCCAAATCTACAGAGTAAATTTTCTAGGCTGCACAACATGGTTATATAATTTGTCTTATTCTAGAAGAAGGCTTTTTTCTTCAATGAGAATGCCTCCCTTTCTTATCCTTTATCTCTCTTTTACTATTATGGTCTTCTCTTTTTTTTTTTTTTTTTTAAAGATTTTATTTATTTATTTGACAGACAGAGATCACAAGTAGGCAGAGAGGCAGGCAGAGAGAGGAGGAAGCAGACTCCCTGAGCAGAGAGTCCAGTGCGGGGCTCGATCCCAGGACCCTGGGACCATGACCTGAGCCGAAGGCAGAGGCTTTAATCCACTGAGCCACCCAGGTGCCCCTGGTCTTCTCTTTATCATGACACTTTGAAGTCATGAGTTACTATCACCAAACTAAAAAATTGATTTTCAATTAATAACAACAACAACAACAACAACAACAACAACAACAACAACATCTCCTTTGTATGTCAGGGACTTATCATATGATACTCAAATACAGCAATTCTCAGTTACTTTTTCCTCATCTTGGACATAAGTCTTATACTGTTATCTTAGAAAATAAAAGCTATGATTATCTTGCTCAGCACTGTATAGCCAGCATGTAGTAGAGTTCTTGGCATACGGTAAATGCTCAATAAATATTTGCTGAATGAATGAATGAATGATTACTTTTAATTTCCACTCCTCTCCCTTGCCCAGGGGTGTGCGCTCCTGCGCGCACACACACTCACACTGACAAATAGAAAAACTTAAAAACATAAAATACATTGACACATACACACACATACACATCCATATAAGTAATGTTATAACCGCTCTCATTTTGAGGCGCCTGGATGGCTCAGTCAGTTAAGCAGCTGCACTGGGCTCAGGTCATGAGCCCAGGGTCTTGCGATTGAGCCCCAGATCTAGCCCCAGATCTAGCCGCATCTCAGGCTTGTTGCTTAGTGGAGAGCCTGCTTCTCCCCCTCCCTCTGCCTGCTGTGCTGACTACTTGTTCTCTCTCTGTCAAATAAATAAGTTAAATTGCTCTCATTTCTTTTTTCATATGTCTTATCCTAAAAACCTATTGACATAATTCATCTTTTCTAGGATCATTATCTGCCTAGACTGAGTGAGGAATGATACCATTAATTACAGGAAAAAGTACATTTCAGTTGGTGTAGTATAATTTGGGATGTTAATCTACTGGTCTAGCCTTTTGGCTTGATGTGTACTAGGGAAATATTTCTGGATAAGTTTTCACTTAAGTTTTAATAATGTCACTTGATACTGTTGCTGCACTTTACTAACATAACATCTACACTATAGTTTTCAGGTCAGTTCTTTTTTTTGGAATGATCTTTATCTGGTGGAAATTTAGTGGGAAAGGCTGTTGAAGTCGAGGAATGCAGAAAGGAATGAATCCCAGAATGGTTATATTAATGTCACTTAAACATAATTTTTATTTTTTTATTTTTTTAATTAATTATTATTTTTCTTAATTTGACAGAGAGAGAGAGAGATCACAAGTAGGGAGAGAGGCAGGAGTGAGAGAGAGAGAGGTAGACTCCCCGCTGAGCAGAGAGCCGGATGCGGGACTCGATCCCAGGACCTTGAGATCATGACCTGGGTCGAAGGCAGAGGCTTAATCCACTGAGCCACCCAGGCGCCCCATAATTAATTTTTAAATACTTCAATTCAATTAATATTTCCAGTCTTTTCCTAAAAACAGAAGGATTTTAGGTCATCTAATAGAGAAATTCAATTATTAATCTCTCACATATTGTCATTTGACTTTTAACTTCTAGATTCTTTACCTACATGATTTCCTTTTCGTTAGTCATTGTTATTGTTATTGCATTAAATGAATACTTACTAGGATTTAACAACATATTTATCAATTAGTTTGTTCATTATTCATTCCTGAACTGTTTTCTCATTTTGATTTCAATTTCCTTTTTTACCCAGTAGTTTGTAATTTACACTTGTAAGCAGTGTCATCCTCAGGAACAATGGTCTCATGGGAATTCTGCATGTTCTGAGTTGTAGGCATACATTAGGAAGAGGGGAATGTTTTAGATTTGCCTGTCTTGAAGCATGAATGTTTCAGAATTTTCTATACATAACTGGTTCAAATTTGTGGGTAGTAGAATTAAGGAATTGAGGTCCTGTGCTTTATACATATTGCAGACCTGAGGTTTTACATCTCTAGGTAATCTTTTTCCATCCACGTAACTAAGACAACTTAACTGTTGCATTCCCAGTAGCCATAACTTTTCTTATCCCCACTTAGGACTACTGGTCCTGGGGTTTCTTTTAGCTTTCTAATGTTTAAATACCTGCTTCAACTCCTTCCAAGCTAGGGTTAGTAAAACCATGTTTATTACGGTGTGAGTAATTCATATTCCCTTGTAATCATTCAGCTTTTGCTCCTGTTTTCCCTCTGAACTTCTAGTTTCTTCATTTTTTACTAACAGAAGGAAAAGCCTTTCTAGCTGTCAACCTCCATTGGGTATTAGATTTTTATACTATTTTCTTCAGCATTTCTGTGGAACGGAGAGGGAAAGCTTTACTTAAGGGAATAGAAAGTGGAAGTTTTTCCTGTCATTTCATGCTGATGGATCGCCCAGAAGTAAATAAATGTGTTTTAATTTGCAAAATGTGACAATTTACATATCAGTGAATTTGAAAAGCTAACTTGAAGCCTGACAGCCAAATTTAGGCATTCATCATCAAACTTACATATTATGCTTAGAGGTGATTAAGAAAAAAATGCATCTCTGCTATGTAGATACTTTTCCCCACTGGAGAACGTAAGTTTTGCGTTATATGTTACACTTGATGTTGGGTAAATAAGAATAATATTTTTTTGCATGTCCTAGGTGTTAAGTTAGTTTTGGTGTAAAATGTCCTGATCTTCATTTTTAATATAGTCAAGTTTCTTAATATAACTGTTAGACATTATTTTTATCTTATATTTTTATTTAGATCCAGGTCAGAAAGTAGTGCTCAAACATATACCAGCAGGTAAGAAATTTAGGAAGTGTTTCTCATAAATAAGTGTACCTTGAAAATAAGAATGAACAAATAAATAATTGCTTAATATTTTTTAAGCAGCCACAATTGATAAAGCCCTAAAGATAATTTTTTAATATTTTCCATTCTAGGAATGAGTCTTTTTTCTTCAGCTGACTGAATTTTTATTGATTGCTTACTTTATTGGTACATAGGAAAAACTAGTTAAATCTAATGAGGCAAGGTCTCTATAACTATTTTGTGGAACTAACTCATAAGCAGAGGATTTTTACATCCTTTCTGTTGAGATGCATAAAGGGAAATTTTTTTTGGTTCAGATTACATTTGCCTCTATAACCTCAGTATAAACAACTGAGTGAACTCCATTTAGGAGGAGTTTATCAAAGAGATGGTGTCATAAGCACACTAAAATTCTTTGCTTCTCATAGCCCCTCAACAGCCCAAAGTTGTGTTAACAAGGGTTCTCTGAATTTTTCTTAAGTTTTCAGTTTCCCATGCTCCACAGTTGTGGCCTTGTGATCCCTCTGAAATCATCAAATACTGGTCTGCTCACCTTTCCTTCTTCCTTAGAGAGTTTAGTTTTCTCGTAAGGTCTGATATTTTTCCAAGTGTCTTCTTTTAGTTACTTTCAATCCACTAGTTTTCCAGAATATCCTTTATAGCCATGGGTTAAATTTTCAGGCTATACCATAACATTTCTAGTTTCTGTCCTTTCTGATGAAGTCCTTTCCTCCATTAGAGAAGCTATGGAATTTCTACATCCTTGATTCTCTCTGTTATTTTTAGATGTCTTCTAACATCATAACCTCTTATAGATGTTAGTTACATTTTCTCAACTAATTATGAAAAAAGAGCTGATTTTATTATCTCCATTCCCTTTCATGGGATTTGTGATATAATGCTCAAACACTGTAATTCTTCCAGCCCTTCGCTTACCTAGAAGCATTACTTTCCCTCTATACTCTGATACCACTTGAAGGTAATGGCCATGTGTCTTTGCTAACCAATTTAGCGTTAGCACCTAGCAGAGTACATGTGCAAAAATACTAACTTATTGAATAAGTGATTCTCTTGAACTTCACATATACAATTAATATTATAACTATTCTAATTGGAGTCCCCTCTCTCATAGAATATGAGGTTCATGTAATCATCCTCTTCTAGAAATGGTGTTCAACTGGATTGAGGGATAGTCAAGGACATCATTCATAGGACATTATATATTGCATTTGAAGAATATAATTTGGAACATTAATCCATTTGTCCAGTTTGTGTTTAGCATATACCAGAAAAACATCCTTGAATATTCTTTCATTTAAATTTAATAAGCTAGGTATAGTTGCTGTGCTTTTATTATTATAGCGCCTATTAGATTTTTTTCTTCTGTTCTTTTTAAACTTCTATTTTAAATTTTTTTTTTTTCAGTTGAAAAGCTGGTAGGAGATATTGGTAGAACAAGCTCTTTGTGTTATAACATTACTAAAATAAGAATTTTTTAAAATGATGGATATCTAATGGGTTGTGCATGTCAGTAGACTCATAAGTCTAGATTTCTAAATTGGCTTGGGGGAAAACTAACTACAGTTAACCTTTGAACAATATGGATTTGAACTAAGCAGATCCACTTAAAATGAATTTTTAAAATAAATATAGTGCAATATTGCAAATGTATTTTCCTTATTACTTTCTTAATAATTTTTCTTTTCTCCAGCTTACTTAATTATAAGAATACAGTATATAATACATATAAAATATAAGGTATGTGTTAATCGACTGTTTATATTATCAGTAAGGCTTCCAGTCAACAGTAAACTATTAAGTAATTAAATTTTGTGGGAGTTAAAGTGTTATACATGGATTCTGACTATGTGGGGGTTGGCAACCTTAACTTCTGTGTTGTTCACATATATTTAAGAAGTGTGTTTCACAGAGTAGTAGGAAAAACCTACTTTACATTCTGAAGATATAAGATAGCAGAGGTAAGGAAAGGATGGGAAGAGTAAAATTATATCACTTATCACTGAATTATCTCACTAATCTTACTATCTATATTATTTTCTCTTGTCAATAAACCTCTTTAAATTTCTCTTTAATTTATTCTTTTTTCTCTAATTCTTTTGGTTAGAGTATTAGAGATTAATCTATAGATATAAAAATTAGAAAAGAGTCCCAAGAATTTTATTTTGACTTTGGTAATAAAGAGTATAAACATAGATGTTTGGTAGATATTTCTTTCTTACTATTATTTTGAAGGAAAGAGGAAGAAACGTTCATTAAAAATAAAAAAAATAACTTTATCAGGTTGCATTTTATCAAAATGAAAGTATTATTTCCTTATTTACTTAGATCCAAATCACAGGAAAGCACCCCAGACACCTAACAGCAGGTAAGTACATTAGGAGCTGTCTCTAAAATTGAAACAAAATTTATAACCTATAATTAAATCCTAGGTATTTATTAGGTAGATGAATTAGTTAAGTACTATATCAGAAACAACATATTAATCTTTACTAATCTTGCTATTAATGAGTATTTATTCATTTAGTCTTTTTTCTTCAGTTTAGTAAAGTTCTGTTGGGAACTTGCTATTGTGGACAGAATGGAATTAAAGAGTTTGAATTCAATAAGATATCTAATAAGATATAAGATATAAATATGTAAATTAGTCTATAAAATAAATTCATAATCAAGGCCACTTTATCCACTAGGTATTATAGGCATAATATTTAAGGCCTATGAGTTTCTAACTGCCAAAAACAAAACACTGTTTACAACATGAAAAACCAAATAGATTAGCTCCAATATATGGAAAAAGTAAAATTAATAATATATTTCAATTTCTAAAAAAATGCCAACTCTTAACTGTTACATTCATAAACACTGTATGTGGAAAAATGTAAGTTTTTCATTTGCAATACTTCTGATTAAATATGATGCTTCTCCAGAAATCAGGAAATTGTAACATAAACATTAATCTCAGGCAAATAATTTCACAAGTAAATTGCAAAAAGTTTTTCTAGAATGCTTTTTTCTGACATTTGAATTTTTTTGCTTGGTAGTACCCCCAGTTGTTTATATATTTTACAGTGGAGGGGAGTTTATTTGCTGTCGGTACCTTAAAAATATGTCTCTTTTCTTTTCCATAGTAACTAATAATTCCTTCAGAGGACAATGGATATTACAGAGTGTCTCACTGAAATGAAAATTCCACCTTTCCTCCCTTGGTCACAGTCAAAGGAAACAATAAACTGCATGTGGAACTATTTGCATGTGCATCTGTATTTCTTTCTTCCTCTACCCCTGAGGCTTCAGTTCTGTCATATCAGGTCCCTTAACTGAAGATACATCAACTCTAGCATCCCCATCCTGACCAGACTCACTGAGCTCTTTTTCCCAGCTCTCCTACCACCCACTGCTGCTTTCCTGCCTGGGGCCCCAGGTGCTGGAAATCTGCATCAACTTTTACTCAGGAAGAGCTCATCGTTGGTAGGTAGTCCATGGTCCTCCTCCTGGTATTTCTCACCGGACTTGACTGGGGCATACAGATCTCAGTTAATCCGATATATATCCATCTTACCCACCCAACAACCCCAGTGTAGGCTTCTGAAGGAAGCTGTGTTCACTTTGAGGACTGTACATTACCGTCCAGGATTCTTGCTCTACCCACCACCCTTCCCTTGTTCCTTGACTAGGTGATCCACAGGATGAATCCCAGAAAACAGAAGGACCCAGAGAGCTTGGACTTGGATCTCAGGGGTAAAGGTTAACCTCTATCAGAGTTTAGTGACAAAGTTGATGAACTGAGTTGGGAAAGTTTCTGTCATTTTCCATTTGCTGAAAGGTTGTATGAGGTTGTTTCGTTTTCCAAATAAATATTTGATAAAATGCACCAAGGTAGCTGGAGTTTTCTTTGTGAGTAGATCTTAATTATGGATTCAGTGTCTTTAATAGAGGACTATTCAGATTTTTTCTGCAATAGTTTTTTCAAATATTGTAATCTTAAAGGAGTTTACCCATTTCATTTAGTGGCTGATCTTTTGGCATAAAGTTGTTCTTAGTAACATTTTTTAGTGTCTGTAGTTATGTCCCCTCTTTCTTTCTTTCTTTTAAAAGATTTTATTTATTTATTTGACAGAGAGAGAGAAAGAGAGAGATATCACAAGTAGGCAGAGAGCAGGCGGAGTGGGGGGGGGGGACGCAGAACCCCTGCTGAGCAGAGAGCCCAAGGCGGGGCTTGATCACAGGACCCTGAGATCATGACCTGAGCCAAAGGCAGAGGCTTAACCCACTGAGCCACCCAGGAGCCGCTATGTCCCTTCTTTCATTCCTAATCATAGTAATTGTAGTTCTCTTCTGATCAGTCTTGATAACAGAATTTTCATAATAATGAATCCCTTAATCCCTCAGACCACCTCTTGTCTTTTTTTTTTTTTTTTAATTGCCTCTGTTTTCTGCTTCATTGATTTCTGCCTTTTTAAAAATTTGCTCTTTTCCTGGCTTTTGGAATTGGAAGTTTAGATAACTTATTTTAAACCTTTTCTAATTCCTTTAAAAGTATAAATTTGTTCTATGTACTTCTTTAGCTTCATTTTGTGAATTTTTTTATGTTGTATTTTTATTATTCTTCAGGTCAAATTTTTTCCAATTTTCACTTTGATCTCTGAATTATGGATTACTTAGAAGTGTGTTAACTTCCAAATATTTGGATATTTTCTGTTTAGTCTTTTCTTATTGATTTATAGTTAATTCCATCATTGTCAGAGAATATACATACACAATTTCAATCTGTCGAAATTATTGTTTTGCTTATGGTCCAGCCTATGGCCTATTTTGGTGAATGCTCCAGGTGCACTATAAAATAATGTGGATTTTGCAGTTGTTTAATATGTAAATGTCAAGTCAAGTTTATTACTAGGGTTTTTGAAATCTTTAAAATTTTTTGCCCTTTTTCTGTTATTCCCTTAAAGAGATCTGTTAAAATTGCCTATTATTGTTTGTTGATGTGTTGTTTTGGTATATTAGTGTTTCATGTATTTTCAAGTTATATTTAGTGCATATATCTTTAGGACTGGTATGTTTCCCTGATGAACTGACCCTTTGTCATGATATAATTCTTATTATCTCTATTATATTCTTAGTTTTGAATTTTACTTTTTTCTGGTATTAATATAGCCATGCCAGCATTTTTACAGGCATTCTTTGCAAGGGATATCTTTTTTCATCCTTTAACTTACAGTGTATCTTTCCTTAAATTTAAGATGTATCTGATGTAAACAACATAACATTTGAGTCTTGCATTTTTTAAAATCCAGGTGAATGTTTTTAAATTGAAGTGTTAAAAGCATTTACATTTAATATAATTTCTAATACTGTTGATTTTAAGTCTGACATTTTGTTATGTGTTTTCTATTTTTTCCACATTTCTTCATTCTTTCCCTCCACCTCTTTCTTTTAGGTTAATGGATACTTACTCTGTTTTTCTTCCCTATTGGCTCTTCTGGCTGTCCTTTTTACATTATTAATATTTTTTGGTGGCTACACCAGAGATTATATTATGCATCCTTCATTTATCATAGTCTACCTTGGAATTAATATTATGGTATTTAACAAACAACAAAATACAACAGTATAATTTTTGTTACCTCCTCCTGCCCTTAGTGTTACTATATTTAATTATACACATTTGACCTATTTGTCACTGTTATTTTCACATGAAAGAATAACATGAAATCAATAATATTTTCAAAAAATTTAGGCTTTTATATTTATGCACATGTTTAACCTTTTAGGTACTAGGTATAAGAGTTGTGCTTTCATATGAGATCACTTCTCACGCTTGAATAACTTTCTAGTATTCCTTATAGTGTGCTACTGATGGTGACAAATTTGTTCACTTTTTTTTTCTGTTTGAAAAGTTTTTTTAATCTTCATTTTCTTAAGATATGTCTAATTGCACATAGAATTTTTAAATTGTCATTTTTTTTTCTTTTAGCACTTTTTGTATATTTTCTTATGGAATTCATTTTTTTTAAAAAGATTTTATTTATTTGACAGACAGAGATCACAAGTAGGCAGGCAGGCAGAGAGAGGAAGAAGCAGGCTCCCTGCTGACGAGAGAGCCTGATGTGGGGCTTGATTCCAGGACCCTGGGATCACTACCTGGGTCAAAGGCAGAGGCTTTAACACACTGAACCACCCAGGTGCCCCATGAAATTCATTTTTTATTTTATTTAATTTTTATTTTTTATTTAAATTCAATTAACATGTAGTATATTATTAGTTTCAGACCTAGCTTTCAGTGTTTCATCAGTTGTGTATAATACCCAGTTCATTACATCCTATGCCCTCCTTAATGTCCATCACTCAGTTACCTCATTCCACCATTCCTCTCCCCTCCAGCAATCCTCAGTTTTTTTTCCTATGGTTAAGAGTCTCTTATGGTTGTCTCTGTCTTTGATTTCATCTTGTTTTATTTTTCCCTCCCTTCCCCTGTGCTTCTGTTTTATTTCTTAAATTCCACATATGAGTGAATATGATAATTATCTTTCTCTGATTGACTTATTTCACTTAGCATAATACCATCTAGTTCCATCCACATCATTATAATGGCAAGATTTCATCTTTATGATGGCTTATATTCCATTGTACGGGTATACCACATTTTCTTTATACATTCATCCATTGGTGGTCATCTGGGCTCTTTCCATAGTTTGGCTATTGTGTACATTGCTGCTATAAACATTGGTGTGCAGGTGCCCCTTCAGATCATGACATTTTTATATTTGGGGTAAATACCTAATAGTAGTGCAATTGCTGTGTCATAGGGTAGCTCTATTTTCAACTTTTTGAGGAACCCCCAACTGTTTTCCAGAGTGGCTGGACCAATGTTGCATTCCTACCAACAGTATAGGAGGGTTCCCCTCTCTCTGCTTCTTCGACAACATCTGTCATTTTATGAGTTGTTAAATTTAGCCATTCTGACAGATGTGAGGTGGTATCTCATTGTGGCTTTGATTTACACTTCCCTGATGCCGAGTGATGTTGAACATTATTTCGTGTGTCTGTTAGCCATTTGTATGTCTTCATTGGAGAAGTGTCTGTTCATGTATTTTGCCCATTCCTCAGTTGGATTATTTGCTCTTTGAGTGTTGGATTTGATAAATTCTATATAGATTTGGATACTAGTTCTTTATCTGATAAGACATTTGTAAATATCTTATCCCATTCTGTAGGTTGTCTTTGGTTTTGTTGACTGTTTCCTTTGCTGAGCAAAATATTTTTATCTTGATGAGGTGCCTGTTTCCCTTGACTTTGGAGATGTATCTAACAACATGTTGCTGTGGCTGAGGCCAAGGAGGTTGCTGCCTGTGTTCTCTAGGA